AATATTTTGAAACTATTAAAATATTTAATAATTAATAAAAATTATAAAAAATAAAAAATAATTTAAATGAAAATAAGAATAAAATTGGAAAGTATGTATAGGAAGACAGAGAGAGGGTGTTAATCGTTACTGCTGAGAGTTGCAACGACGGTGGTGGGAAGATAGGGAGAGACCACAAGTGGCTCATCACGTAAGAAGTGCAGATCGATTTCCGTCTTTCCTTTGCACAGGATATGAACTCGACCACAAAGGTCAAAGTCAAAGCTACCGTTGAAGGGATATTGTCGTAACCAGTCTGTGGTGCCTTCGCCATCACATCGCCGGGAGCTTTATCAACATTCCTAAACTTCCCAAACTATAGGTAGGTTTTAGTAAATTCATGAACATAAGGACAAACCATTTGAAATTTTACATAAGTCATTGTTTTGGTTTGTTCTTCTTATGTAATTATTAATACATCGCAACTCATTGTTTTGTAGTTTTCTTACAAAAGAACTTAGGCATTGTTTGGTTTGAAAGGAAATAGGAGACAAATAGAAAAACTTTTCCTCAACTTTCTGCCTCTCTCATTTTCTATCAACCAAACATAGATTTAATGAACAATAAAAAGAAAAAGAAAATCATCCTTCTTAAACCATTAATTAATGGTTTAATTTTCTTTCTTTTCTCCCGCTTTAAGATAATAATAGTTAGTTGGAAGCCAGGTTCAAACCTAGCCATCTCTTTAGGGTATGTTTGTACAAATTTCCCCATCTTTCCCTTCCTTCTTTAAACCAAACACAGCCTTACCGTTTGGTCATTAGAATAGAATGAACCTGAGACTCGACCTGCATGCTAAAATTTGCAGCTGTGAGATGGGTTGGCCTTCTGGGTGCATATCAGGTCCATTTGTTTAATTGCTACCGGGATTTTATCTTTGGCATCATAGCGGTCATTTTTTTTTTAATCCCATATCAGCCATCCAGGTGGCAATTATCGAGATGACGAGATTATATCAGTTGCATTGGGCATGTCTCCTGTACTATCATTGGAAGATGTTATTAATACAATACACTGTTAGGCTCAGTTTAGAAGCAGTACAAATGTAAATATGTACAGCATAAATACATACAAAATATAAGGTTTTGCACTCTATGTATTTACATTTGTACTTCTTCCAAACTTAGCCTTATGTGCTATAGGGCATGCCCAGTGGGGTGCAGATCTGAACATGTTTCTATCCATACATGGTAGGTTCCACTCTTATGGTGAGTGGTCTGAGATGTGCGGATACAGATCCTGTTAGGATTTTTTTTTTTTTCTTTTTTAAAGCAGCTCCAATTTCAAAATGTACGAAGCTCGCAGATAAATAGCATTGCGACTGTGACGGGATCTGCTCCTTACACATGGGCGCCTCACAGGCACATCCACCGTGCATTAGGAACATCTCCCATGAATAATAACTTATAAATACGGGAGATGTTCCCAATGCATGGTAGAATGTGCATGTGAGATCAGTGTGAGGCGCCCTATGTGAGGAGCAGATCCGGTTTCATTACGACTTACGACTTACAAGTGGGTCTGACATAATTAGCCACCTCTCCCACCTGATGTAGCAGCTGTTTTATTTTGAAAAAAGAAAATCATAATATAGCAATATGGTGCTACAAAATTTAGAGCCAAGGGCAGCCAAGTAATTTCCAAGCCTCGGGAGTGTTCTTAGGGGTGGGGACTCCGACAATCAAGTTAGTAGAGGGCTCAAGGAGAATAGAGGTCACACACAAGAGTGCAAGTGCTAGCTTAACTAAGTGTGTATACCTCTGGTTGCAGTGTCCTTTTTATAATAGGAGTGTATCGTGCTAGCTTAACCATTCCGTGTATCGTGGTCACGTAAGGGGATACGAAGGGGTGTCAGTTAGTCATGACCCCAAGCTACTTGCCCAAGAGTAAATGCACCTAGGACGTGTGGGAAGGTGTTAGGCACCCCACACGCATCCGATTAGACCGACCTCTACTTAACCAGTTTTCAATGAAGATTTAATAATTTTTTAGGGTATAAAAAATTAAATAGAACTAACACACACATCATAGAAATCCACAAGAGATACTCTCTAACCACATTCAAAAAATTAAAGAAAAACATAAACACTAATTAGGTCATTCATGCAAGTGGACCGAATAAAAGAAAACGATTTAACGTTATTCAATAATTAAAAGGATGATTGACAAGTGACTTAAAGGTGAAGGTTTTAGGAGACAAGATGAAGGATTTCCTATAGACTTACCCACGGTGATGTTTATATAGCCATTTAAGAAAATGATAAAAGAATGAACTTAGGAGGGTTGACTTTGTTAAAAGAGATTTGTTAAAGAAGAGAAATAATATTGAAATAGATAAAAAAAAGAAATCATACTAATGTATTTTAGAATTACCTAAGTGTATGAATGAAGCTTGGTAAATCATGTGAGTTAAAAAATAAAAAATAGAAAATCCATACGTTGGCATGAGCTAAGAGTATTCATTGCCAAACTGCTAAACATCTTTAGAAAAAAATAGAGGCGATTAAGAAAAGAAGCTTTACTTTTAATGAGGAGAAGCATACAAAATGATTTTAGACGTTACCCCATTAAGTTGATAAATAAAAGCTCAAAATCTAAATATGAAAAAGGTGTATGCTATTTGGTGAAATTAACAAATTACTATTCACCTTCGGGCAACCTATGAATAAACTTACGTAAATACTTAGAGTTAAAAAATGAAAATATCTAAATGCAGCATGTGATTAAGGGGAACCCAAAAACTGCATACCTAATGAAGGGATTCAAGAAGTAGACCAATTTAGACATTGAGTATTGCACTTGTTGAGCTCTTCTTGGGACCTCTAACTCCATGAGGAATGCCTCAGCTTGAAGATGAATTCCCGGTCATTTGGAAGGTCAAAGACGTTTATTATGTAGCTCAAATGATATAGGATTGCTGCTATATAATTATCATTTTGTTGCATCTTGTCATTTCAAGAATGCTTCATACTTTGCCTCTTGGATGTATGCACCGCTATATGAGGTTTCTTGCTCTCAAATCTCTCTTGGACTCTCTAAGGACGTGGGGAGGGTGAATGGAGAAGGTTTTGGACGTAAAGGGGAGTGGTGTCTAGCCTAATAGGTGTAAAATTCTCTCTTTAGGCTAGGATGTGTCTAGGATGTGAGAAAGGAGTGATATTTATAGATTTTTTGAGAGGGAAATGGAGGGTTGAGATGACAGACAAGGGAGATCAATGGCTGATGTTTAAATGGTTTTTGGAGGGAGATTGATTGAAAGAATGGATTGTCAAGACAGTTTTGTGACAGATTCTCTCAATCAATCAAGACAAAGAGGTGAAAGATCTCACCAATTTACCTAAATTAGACATTCCAAGTTTAGGTGATTGGTTTGATTGATTGGAAGCTATAGTTAGTCAAATCTTAGATTTTTAAGATGTTTCTAGAGGCCGAGGGGAAGTTTTGGTCGTGGAATGCCCTAGGTTTGAAGTTATTGTGAAGAGAATTCTGAACGGAGGGCTCGAATTGAGTCTAACTCCGGGTCTCAAGATGGAGGGGCTAACGGTGTCAGAATTAGACGACCTTGGTACCGTTGGACTTGGAATTTAGAGATCTAATCCATCTATAGGGTTGGATTTTAGATTTTCTGGGGGTTAGGATTTAGGATCAGAGATAATCCTGATTGGATGATTGGAATCGGTTTTGACTTTGGGTCTTGAGATGAAGGGGTAAGCAGTGTTGGATTTGAGTGATTTTCGTGTTGCTGGATTTGGATTTTTGGGCTCCACATACATAAGGTCTTAGATTTTGGATTTGATGTTAAATGAGGATTATGATCAAAATGACTCCGATCGAACGGTCGGAATCGATTCCGGCTTTGGGTCTTAGGATGATGGGGTAAACGGTGTCGGACTCGAGTGATCTTGGTGTTGTTGGATTTGGATTTTGGGGCTCTAAGTACCTATGGTCTCGGATTTTGGATTTTATTTGAAATGAAGATTATGATCAAAATGGCTCTGATCGGATGATCAAAATCGATTCCGGCTTCGGGCCTCAGGATGATGTGGTAAATGGTGTCAGACTCGGGTGATCTTGGTGTCGTTGGATTTGGGTTTTTGAGTTCTACGTATGTATGATATCGGATTTTGGATTTTATTTGAAATGAGGATTATGATCAAAATGACTCCAATCGGATGATCGAAATCAGTTTCAGATTTGGGTCTTAGGATGATGGGGTAAACAGTGTCGGACTTGGGCGATCTTGGTGTTGTTGGGTTCAAATTTTCAAGCTTTACGTACCTATGGTTTTGGATTTCTGATTTGGTGTGAAATGTGGTTTAGGGTCAAAATGACTCTGATCGAACAATCAAAATCGGTTCTGGCTTTGGGTCTAAAGATTAAGGGGTAAACAATGTCGGATTTGGGTGACATTGGTGTAATTGGGTTTGGTTTTTCAATCTCTATGTACCTATGGTTTTGGATCATTGACGCCCTAACTTTTATAAAATTCTAAAAATACCCCCAGGTCTATCTCGAAATTAATTGAAACATGTTTAAAGCTCAAACTGCTACAAAAACAATAAAGAAATGAAAAATAAGGTATCTACGAGGAGTATGATATCGTATCAACCATACCTGATACAAGATACATTATAATTGGAAGTTTGTCCTATCGTGCGTATCAGGGCATATCGGGCCTATGTATACGTATCAACCAAACCCAAGTCACCCAACACGTAGCACGCCAAAACCTTAAATCGACCCTTAAACCCACTACAAGAAAATATAACTTAGAAATATTGATCTTTAGCGGCAGTCGATTAAAACTGCCGCTAGAGACCAAACAACTGCCGCTAGATATAAAAAGCGCGAGGTAGAATTTTAACTTTTCCTTCCTTCCCCATGCCTCTTCCCGCCCTCCCTCTCTCATTCGTCTCTCCTTCTCTCTCTCTCTCTCTCTCAGTCATCCCTCTCTCGCTCAATCGTCTCTCTCCTCTCGATCGATCTCTCTCTCCCTCTCTCTCTATCTCTTTCTTTCTCTGTAAAATCTAGAAATAGAATCAGCACCTTCGCCCTTCCTCTATCCTGCAGAAGCTAGAACCAACACCAGGTGGGGCTATTCCACCGACTGTAGCAGCGCAAACCAACGCATATCTACAGTTCACTGGTATTAGATCTCTCTTTCTCACTTTACATATTTTGTCATGTGTATTAACCTGTAATGGTCTTTACCTATTGAAGTACTTGAATTCAGGAAGCAAAGCCCTAATTTCTTGCTTGTGTTTTGGAAGATGGCAGATGGATTTTGATTTGAAAGTTATCTAATTAGTGGAAAATTTGTTCTTTCTGTAACTTAGTTGATCCATTTAGAAGAACTTTCCTTTTTGCTAAATATAATGAATGACTTAAATGGTTTTCTTTGTTTCGAAACTGTACTTCAATCTCTTTTTCTAACAGGATTTCCTTCTCTGGTTTGCTGGTCTCCACTTGGAGTTGAAGCATCGAAAGTACAGTTTCTCTGACATGCTTCAATGATTTGGAGATGTCACTTCCCCCTGCATTGAAGGCCTGTTCAGGATAGATCAGAAAACTTTCCCATTTTCAGTTCATGGCATTAGCAGTGCCTTTTAAAAGAAATAAAAACAGATTGGATCTGTTTTGGAACATGATATAGAAGTGGATCATAGTTGACCTCCCTTGTGTAAACATATATTGTCCACCCTTTTGGAATAACAAATCCTGAAACTAACGAAAAAATAATGTTAACACATTTTGGTAATAAACTTCTAGTAATACTCAGTGAGCATCATGTGATGGGAGGACATGAAATTGATTATCCCCAGCCCCAATGGAGCTTAGCAACCGGAAGACCCAACTCATCGATCAGATCACTTAATTGGTCTCCACAGTTTGAAAGAGCGAAAGGAAACTCTGGAAGCACCAGAGGAACCTAACTCTCTGATCTAGAAACAGAAATGGAACATGATAATGTTCTTGAACTCTATTTTTGTTTTGGAAGGCAAAAACAAGTTGGTTTTGGTTTAAAAAACAATGCATGTTTCTTGGAATCATCAAAATATTGTTTTTTAAAAACATAACAAATTTTGTAGTGGAGAAATTATATGATTTATGGAAGACATGAAATACAAAACGATATATAAGTCCAGAAACTGTAATATAAAGATACAGTAAATTCACCTCAAAGTAATGATAAAAACATATGTTTTGTCTTAAATGCATTTATGCCTTGAAGTTTACAAAGCAAAATAGAAATTCAAGTTGATTAGTATTAAATAATTTGATAGATTTCAGTTTTAATGTTAAACCCCCTTCTCTAATTTCATACATAAAGAAAGCATTTCATCCAACTCGACATATTATTAATTTATTAGATTTTGATGGAATATGAAAATAAGTTTTGACTAACCCCATCTAGATCTTAGATTAAATTGAGAACAAAAAGTTTTCACAGCTTTCTGATTTGGTTACAGGGCCAGGTCTGATGTTCCACAGAAACCATGTTGCCTGCATGAACTTTCATTTAAGGTTTTTCTTAGATAACCAAAAGAGTTACAATAGATATGCTATGTATTTAGCAGGAAAAAAGGGAAGAGAGAATTTAAAATCAATGACACAATTAGTTGCTTTCCAGGAGTATTGCCCTTAAAGTTACATATGAAGTTATTGAATATAGACATTTCGTAGGTGTGGATAAATAGGAGAAAATTTCAAAGGGTCAAATTAAATTTCAGTCTTATTAGAAAATTTTAAGAATTTTAAAAGTTGAAATGAAATCATCTCATTTTTCTTTCAGCCTACTTTTCAGGGGCCAAAATTCATCCATCTTGCATTAGTTATCTTGTAAATCTTATGTGTTTTGGGAGAGTTATGGCTGTTCAATTGATAGGGCATTGATCTATGATAGGAATTTAGTCTTTCTATCTTCTTGGTCTTTCTTGGAGCTGTTTTGGGTTTGTTTAGTTACAATTGGATTAGTATGCTGTTGTTGTTGTCCTTTATTAATTTGATTCCTCTATAGATATGTAGCTGGTTTAGAATTTCATTGAAGTATAACATGCTGGTAAACTAAAGTAATTTTGGTTGTTACCAATTCTGATGATTTCTTACAATTTTGGTCTTTCTGTGTTCAGGCTGCTGTCGGTCACCCACTTACAGTATATGGAAAAGGATGCCCGATAAAATTGATAGTTTGTGAATATCCTACCACTACAGCACAAAGTAGTTTCATAGTTTGCTTTGAATTCACTTTACTGTTCTGGGATGGAGAAAATAGGAAAGTCATCTTCTTTGATTCCATCCATACATGGAAAAATCATCTTCAGGATTTAGCATCTGATATAATGAACCCAACATCTGAGACCCAAACTTCCTTGGGAGGAGCGGCGGGGGGAGGGGCACAAAGTGCAGGGACAAAATACTTAATGAGCCAAGTATCTGGTCCTGGGATAAAAAAGGATAATGATGATAAATTTTCTGGTAGCACCAATGTAATTATGAGTGCCAGTGAATCCTGAATATACCATGCATAAAACAAACATAGTAGTAGCAAGAATTAGGAAGGGCGTAGGGAGGACATGACTGCATCTTGGAGGGAGCTGTCTAGCTTCATGGCAGCTTTAAACTCTTCAAAACTGATCTTCCCATCACTTTTGATATTGATCCTATCAAAAATCTCATCCAGTTTGCCGGGTTCTGTTATATCTGGAGGAAGGTGCTCTGGCAAACCCTTCACAATGGAACCAATGATTCACCCAATCAAGATCAGTTGAAAAAGCAAAAGATGGTTTACAAGGAGAGAGAGAGAGAGAGAGAGAGAGAGAGAGAGAGAGAGAGGTTACTCTCATCATGGATGTTACTTCTTCCTTGGTGATACATCCTGACCTGTCTATGTCATACATCTGATTTATGGCCACATTACACAAGAAATAAGTTTCAACCTTCTTAATGTATTTACTACAAAGTTTAGCCCTATTTAAGAGAAGAAAAGAGAAAAACTGGTTTCAATTATCAAAAGATCAAAAGATACCTCACACATTTCTGTTGGTATGGACCAACTTGGCCAAAATAAGTCATATGGTAATCATTGTTCATCATTGGCATTATCACGCGTTACAGAAAACTGTATGGCTTTAATTTATATAACTGCATTGGCTATTTGAATTCAATTGAATATTTTAACCTCTTACAGTTGGTAGGCCACCTCTAATTGTCCTTTTGATGACAAAAAAAAAGCTCTAATCACCCTTCTTGATCAAACAGATTGAATTCTAAATTGCACCCTGTCTTTAAAACACAGTTATGGCATTTGTTGAGGTTCTTTTGATGGGAACAACAGAAAATTTATCTACTCTCAGACTCAAACCCATTTCTCACACTAGTCAAATGGATGCAATGCATAATTCTTATCTAGAGTTGTTCGTTGTAAAAATCACATGCTTCCTATATTGATGATAAGCACTGCAACTGATATGTTTTACTTGTGAAAAATTTTGACATGTTCTCAATTTAGATTTAAAAGAGAAATAGAAGAGAAGAGGAAGAGAACGAAGAAGAAAAAAATGTTGAGAGGGAAAATTATGAGGTGGCAGCCTTTGTTTCACTTACAGGGGAGATCTATATTGATATGAAAATGACCAGAATGCCCCCTGGGTGTATAACATCCCAAATAATAATATAAAACTGGAAATAAAAACAGGGCAATATGGTAAACAATAATAAATCATCTTTCAACAATTTTCTTCTTCAAAAAAAATGTTCTTATTTAAGTTCTTTGTGAAGTAGCACTATTATTGATCCTCCCACTTGATTTGAAATCAAGACTTTAACAATGCTGTATAAAATGCTCTCAACCATTCATAGTTTTTTCTACAGGCTACTTTTCCACTTTCTGGAGACAGGCCAATGAACATGCTTGGAGTCGTACAGGTAGGCCATATTTTCCAATTGCATTTAAGAGCATCTTATTAATTTTATATATGCCACTTAGGGCACATGGGTTCTCATGGTCTGATTTTCTCTGGTGCACGTATTACAGTCCCAAAAAGTTGCAGAACTACTTCTAGATTTTAAAGTGAGCTCAATAATATGAAATCCTCAGAATGCTTCTATTGAAACAGCAATTTCCATCTCCAAGGTGAAGCTTTTCAATGCTACTGGTCTTGTGTCATATATCTCAAATTTCCTCAGTGAAGATGTATTTAACTTTGCTCCAAGAGTTCTTTATTTATTCCAACTGGCAGACTTGATTGTACTTAGGAATGCCAATTAGTTGTAGCTTGTGGAAGGAGGTTCCCATTGGTTCATTGTAACCATTCCTATAAAAGAATTTAGAAAGCCTTTTCATTTTTCTAGCATTTTATCCTCCAATTTATCGTTTTCATCTTCTAATAGTATAAATGAAAGATTGCAGAGGTTTTGAAGAAGAAAAAGAGGGCAACAACAGAAGACATAGCTAGAATTGCTTTATCTGATATTGTCAAATATTTCAATCTTCCGATAGTAGAATCTTCAAGAAATCTGAAGGTCGGACTTACTGTGCTGAAGAGGAAGTGCAGGGAACTTGGTATTCCTCGTTGGCCACATAGGAAGATTAAATCTCTTGACACTCTAATACATAGCCTCCATGTACTCTGCTTTTCTTGGTCTGCCAAGTTGCATTGCATATTTTCTGATTTTGGTACTGCATTTAGGACTGTCAATAGGTTACCTGACAAACTTGAATGAATCCAACCTTATTGTAAGATCTGGGACAAGTCCTTGATCCAACTTACTGGGACTCATGAACAATTGGTTTTTGCACCAGATGTACCCTGATTCAGTGGAACAAGGACCCAGCTGAGCCAATTTAACTATTTGTACAAGAGGGTCAGAGAAGGCATTCAGAGTTGCTGATGAAGAATTCAAGCAATTGGGTTTTTCTCAATGAAAATTACAAACTTGATCCTAACAAGTTACCTTTAGAAGATGTGGCAAAATCGGAATCTCTCTGCGAGAAAGATTTGTATTTATACAACATGTATTGACATTGCAGCACTGAAACATTTGTATTTATAGGTTTGATTAAGTATATTATATGCAACAAGTAAGGTTGGACTTGATACCCCTTCTGGATTCAGGTTGAGCCAAACACGAGCAGTTGATGTATATCCCTATAACTCTATACATGTATCTGATATGAAGCTTCTGGGAACCGATTATTCACAGCCATCCAAATACCACAAGTCACCTTTCATTTCTCAAAAGGAGGTTTACTGTTGGACTGTGGTGAAGGGACATTGGGTCAACTAAAGAGGAGGTGATTCCTATTCTCTATAATGTTTCATTTACCTACTATTGTATTTCTTTTCGTTTCTTTTTTAATAGATAGAGATGTCCTATGAAACTTGTGTACAGATATGGTGTAAAGGGTGCTGACAATGCTGTGAGAAGATTGAAGTTTATTTAGATTTCTCATATTCATGCTGATCATCATACCGGTCTACCAAGAATACTTGCTCTTCGTCGAGAGTTGTTAAAGGAAGTTGCTCATGAACCATTACTTGTTATTGGGCCAAGGAAGCTTAAAATATTTTTGGATGCATAACAAAAACACGAGGATCTAGATATGCAGTTCCTTGACTGCAGGCACACAACAGAAGCTTCATTGGATGCCTTCAAGGATGCTCTTGAATCTATTCAAAATAACTTCGTTTCAAGAACTAATGTTGAAAACTTAATAGCAGAGATGGACAAGGTGTTCCAGTGCAAAATATTGAGACAACCTTGTTTGCAAGAGGCAGCCCCATGCAGAGCTTTTGGAAGAGACCTAGTAGTCCAGTTGACTCTGGAATGAGCTCTGAGTCTGAGCTCCTAATGAACTTGAAAAAGGTTCTTGGTGAAGTAGGTTTGGAGGCTCCGGTCAGTGTGCCTGTTGTGTATTGTCCATAGGCATTTGGTGTTGTCATGAAGGCAGCAGATAGAGTCAACACCATTGGAAGAACTACTCCAGGTTGGAAGATTGTCTACTCTGGTGACACTAGGCCCTGTCCTGAACTGATAGCAGCATCTTAGGGAGCAACAATTCTTGTACAAACCTAGAATTTATCAAATTGAAATTAAGATGTATTTGTAATTCAAATATTTTGAATGGAGAATGGGTTTTTAAATTTTATTTGTAATTGATTTTTTTTTATTTTTGTATTTCATTCCAATTTAAGTGAATATAGAGACAAGTTGTTTGAAGCAAATTAGAAAAAAAAATAATATGAAAAAAATATGGCTATCGCGACTGCCGCTAAAGATGTCCCCGACTACTGCTAAAAGAAGCACGCGTCAGACCTTTAGCGGCAGTGGATCTAATATTAGCGGTAGTCACGACTGCCGCTAAAAGTATCTTTTAGCTACAGTTTAAAATTTATACCGGTAGCCAAGATAATTGTCGTTAGAACGTCTAGCGACAATTCTTTTAGCGGCAGTTTGTCGACTGCCGGTAAAGTTTATAGTGGCAGTTTTAGAGACCTTTAGCTAAAAATCATTTTTTGTAGTCACCACTAGGCCATTTTCATTCTTATGCTAATAAGTGAAATAAAATAACTTTTATTAAATTTAGTATTTACATGAAATTAAATTATCAAAATAAATAATACATATTTATGCTTAACAACTACAACTAAAAATTAAAAAGAATAATATTCAAAAGTATTATTGTATAAACTAATGAAATAAATAATCCATCAAATCCACATTAAAATAAAAAGATGATTTTTGATAAAGCAAAAAATAGGCCCACCAATAGATGATGCACAATCTGGACACTCCCTCATGTGTTGTGACTTGAACTCCGACTGGCAACAATCTGGCTGGGCTGAGCTGTGTGGACGAGCTATGTTGACGAGTTGTGAGTTGGGTATCCGAGCTGAAGAAAGCTGTAAAAAGAGAGGAAGGTGAGAGTGCTTGGGTAGCTTTTACTCGGGAAGGGCACTCCGATGCTTAAGTCAGCGAATGTGTAGGAGTAATCTCTAAGAATGTAAGGGAGCTTGAGAGTATCAGTGTGCATACCTTTCTGGGTGGATCTAGACATCTTATATAGGCTCTTGGACTCAGGTAACTGTCTTGATTTCTTTGTGGAGTTGTTTTCTTATTTTTAGGCGCATTAAGGTGTCAGTTGCTAGATTTGCGTGGTAGTTATAGGTCGCCCGTGAGTCCTGCGGCATATAGTTTGGCGAGTTGTTCCTGTAGTCGCGGTAATGGTGTTCAAGCGGGCGCGGCGCGCGGGATGGTTTCGGGCGAGCTCGCTCCAGCTTAGCCACGTACCTGATATTGACTGTCACATATCACTTTGGCGAGTTGCTTTGCTATGTTGGACGTTGTGTTATCACCAGCGCCCACATGTCGATAATTGTGTGGGGCGACCAAAATGCCCCTCATCAATTGCCCCCCACTCTCGAGTCACTGCTTAGTAGACGAAGAGAGTAGAAGCTCTTTAGGGCATTTTGGGTCGGCTTGCTTCGACCGTCGGTTCAGCTTGGTTTGCTTTCATAGCCGGTTCGACTTGTCTGGTTTGGCCTGGTTGAGATGCTCCGAGCTAATTTCATTGAGCTAGTTCGCTGACTTGGCATTGAGGTATCATCCGGAAGCCATATGTCGTTGTATGATTCGGAGGACCAAATTACCCCTCATCATATACATTTAAATTGGTAGTATAGACCACCAAGTTGACTAACTCTCTATTTATAAAATGTTTAGAACAACTCATGGTATAAAAATGCCCAATAGAGATATATGTCTCTCCTAAACAATATGTAAAGCACTTGTTTGAAGAGACATAGTGTTGAAACATAGATTTGTTTAAATAAATTAAGAAATTGCTTAAAAAGTATATGGTATGACATATGTACACCCACACCCACACCTCGACATGGCTTGGCTCAACATGCATATATGAAGATTAAAGAGCACCTTTAACCCCTTACAAGCATGCAAATATAATTATGGTGTATTCTTCTCCAATGGATTCTGATGATGCACAATCTGGCCGGTCTTAGCTGTTGATGATCTTGCCTCTGAAATGGGTAACAGGGACCTGAAACGGGAGGAGAAGAGAAGCTCCGGGGAGAACCCGGCGTAAGGGCTCCGAAGCTTAAGTTAGAATCCTTCAAAGGCAAGAATAACCAGATAGCGCGAAAGTT